CATATGCAATTAATGTTAGATTTGTACATAGCTTTTCTTTACAATCAAGTATGCACGAGTAAAAAAATTGATTTTAAACACAAGGGAGCGTCTCTTGTGAATAAACCATCAGTTTTTGCCACGATTTCACGAATCAAGCTGATGGGCCTAAACTCACCGTATCAACTTTCTATTTCGGCTTACTATTATCATCTACCGCAAGAAATCTAAGCAATCTTTGCATTATAAATAATATATTTTTGGATTTCCAGTAAATTTAACAGTCATCTTGAACTTTAGAATATATCAGCATCTTGAACTTTTTCTCGAAGCTTCGCTATACACTTCCGCCATTACCACTTGGTCACTGAAACGCTAACCGTTTCACGAAGGTTACTGAAACGCATATACGTATCGCCTCAAAGGGGACACTTTTGCATGGGGGACCGATTAGCATACTACACCGGCAGTGCTGAATCGAATGGTGTAACTTTTTCCTGCATATCTTTTCATTAACATAATTTTTTCAAGCTCCAAATTACTGGTTTTCGTCAGATTTTGTTCGAATAAAAAAACGCGGCCAAAGAGGAATTTCAGGAATTTGTGACGTATTCTGGTGTGTTCGTGCACTGGCAAGGTCAGTTTATTGCGTACTTTTGAAGGATGGCAGACATCGGGCATAGCAAAAAACGACCTAAATACGGCAAATATTGTTTTGCTGGTGCACTAAACTATACTGGCTGTTTAGGTAACAGTCACATTCCCGAAAATCAGTCGCAGAAGTTTCCGAAAGCTGAATAAAATAGCGTCGATATTGGGTAAAATTCATGAGAAGACACAGGACCGGTTTCAATCCATTGTCTTCGTCCGACCTATGACCCAAAACACACGTTACGAACAAGAATTATGACAATCCTTTGAACAATCCTAACAACTTTCGGAAAAAGCCAGCAAGACCCAAAATTCATTTTTAGTACATTAGTTCTAGCTACTCTACAAAGTTTCAATCGATTTTGAATCGTTTTACTGAAGTAAATATGGGGAAACAAAACAGACATACGAGGCTTAAGTATGGAGCTCGAACGGGGGGTGTTTCAGATATTCTCATCAAACCAGAAAAAAACAATGGGGAACTAAATGTATTTTATGCACATTATTTTTAGTAACTCTCAAAGTTTCAATCGGTTCCGAACATTTTTACAAGTGTACTTGGGGGTTTTCTATGTGCTGGTGTCTTCAGCCAGGGGTTTCCCTGGAGCTTGTTGTTGTACAGGGAATTCGATTATTGGAGTTTTACGATTTAAAATAGTATACCTTGAAAGAAGGTTGTTCTTTATGTTGTTTTGAGTCGATTTAGTTGTCTTGCTTTGGCTCTAGCATTGAAGATCAGTTCACATCAGGTTGTGATGTTTCATGTCGAATGTCAATTTTTGGGAACACTTAGGCGGCGTCAAAAAATGTCTGCTTACCTTGGGATGTAAAGTGCGTCTTGTTAAGAAAAGAATAAATAAATCAACAGAAATCGATCTCACTTGAAAAAACTTTTCATTATCTTTATTTGAATTGAAATCCGAATCCAAGTGTCTGCTTCGCCACCACATGTTCAGCCATCTTCAGAGGAAGGTGGTAATGGATCTTTCTCATCAAGTTGCAACATCATTTCAACGTTCCCATCTTCAAAATTTGTTTTCTCACTTCCGATACAACTTCCTCATTGTTAGATGAAACGTTTGAATCTGGAAACTATATAATAACACACCAGAATGCGTCACTCTCCCCAGATTCTTTTCGAAAAACCTCCTACGACTCAAGCCCCCCAAAAACAAACTTATGGCCCTTGTTTTGAAAAAATATTTGCAGATAAAGAATCAGTGATGTTTAATGCCTAAGAAAACACCTTTTGCAAAATTTTGATAGCCTGGAACACATAGTATTCCCTTTTCCATAAAATCTTTTGGCAATTTCTGTTGAGATTTTGCGCTCACCTTTTACTTGCTTCTTGTGTAGTTTTAATGGATAACAGCATTTGTTGAATCTTTTTTCAAACACTGAACCAAACTTTGCCTCATGATGAAAGCAGATGCTATCGATGATGTTATCTCTTAGTCCTGATCTCCACAGCTATACATCTCGTGCCTCTGAATCAATACTGCTAAAAAGCTTGGCTTACAAACTTCATGAAGTTTGTTGCAGTCTTCTTCCAAATAAACACCAAAGTCACACTTTTCAGATTCCATGATCAGTTTTTCAAACGGAGAGCATAGATGAACATAGATGTAAATGAAGTGAAAGGGAACTTTAAGATTGATTTATATCAACTGGATTCAAGAAAAACAAATTCTGTCATTTCCTGTCAACTTGTTTTGTTTCCTCAAAAGATCAGCAAAGAGGTGTGAAAAACATGGCATGGCTTTTGTTTGCTTCGGCATGTGCACCGACCAACTTGACAATGTTTTCTAGCATTTCTGCATGGGCAATCCTTTCTTTGACAAGTACTTCAACAGTCACAAGTGATTGTAATGGGAGGTGCTTCAGGTTGCCCCTCGACACTAACTGCACTACTAGGCCTAAACCTGTCTCCAGTTGAATTGCATCCTAGGTCAAATTGCCAGAGATCATCGACTCGTTTCTAGATATTTGAAACTCTAGATGAATTTCAGGCCTATCGGAATGAGTACGATTAAATATAAAAAGCTCTCCGCTTCGGCCATCATTTGCTCTTTCAACGTCTTCTTGAACAGTAAATTGCTTCACCATTTTGTCTATAGTACGAGACTTTAATTCTAAGGCTGCGTTCACATTGCACAAGCATTTACTGGCGCCAACTTTTGCGTCACGATTTCTGCAATACTAACCCCTTGCTGTGTTCACACTGGCCAATTTCTGGCGAACGGAAATTGGCAAGTAAATGCTGTAGCGCTAGTAAATGCTAAACGATAGCTGACAGATTTGTTAAACGCGTGATGGATTTTGAACTCCTCATCACCGAAATTGAAAAAAGGCCCGCAATATGGGATCCAAAGAATCCAAAACATTGTAATCGCGATTTCACATCTAAAACCTGGGAAGAAATCGCAGATATAATGCAGTCACAAGGTAAATTAAAATTTTCATATTTTGACAAATAAGAATTTTACATGTTGCAAATAAATTTTCTTAATTAATTATATTTCTTTGCCATGGGACTTCTCCTGACGGACTGTTAAAATAGTTCATTAACTTATTTCGAATGTCTACGCTTATATTGTTACCCCGATAAGCTCGTTGTTGAATTGCTTGTTCTTCTCTAACATTATTTTCACCCCTAAGTTTTCACTCTAACATGCTTGATACGCTGTCCCAGATTAGAAAAAACTTTCAAGTAAGAAGGTAAAGTTAAAAGATTGAAAGATATTAAAAGTTGCAGTACAATCTTAAATGAAATTGGATTGTCATTTATGCCAGGCCCATTAAGTATTTATACTTATCCTCGGCTGAAGTAAAATTTGGTCCTCAAAAGTGCCTGGTCTATCTAAAACTACCCTGGAACGGTAACAGCTCTCTACGTTTTGAAAGCCAAATAGAACAGGCCATTACAAATTGTTTCTTTCGGTCAACCCATGTGTTGTTTAGAGTACGAAAAAGGCCCTTCCTGTTATCTATGAATTTATGTGCCAGTGTGATTTTGGCTACGTAGGACGCATCACCCAAAGATTGGAGGATAGAATAAAACAACATCTAATATTAGAAACAAAACCCATCCCCAAAGACAAAAGCCACCTCGGTCTTGCAAATCTAAAATTACAACTAAAACCTGCGATTCTGCTATCGTGCAGCATGTACTAGAAAACCCAGATTGTGCAAAAAACTATAATGGCGACATGTTTCAGATTATTGGTAAAGCCCGATCGTCGTTCCACCTAGCAGTTTTAGAATCTATCTAGATAAGCACGAAAAAACCGCTACTGTGTAGACAAAAGGAGTTCCTTTTCACCTTAGGACTCCACTGGTAACATTCTAATAGGCAAGCAGCACTGATTGGTCAACCTATGCAGTCATGTGCTCGTGTTTCTGATTGGCCTATTTCGATCCACAACTGGGTATATATATTTCTTAGCCTAGAGTTTTTGATCTATGTTCTGACGTTTTAAACTCTGATGTTGATTCAAGTAGGGATGATGGCGGCCGCAAATGTTGACTCAAGTAGGGATGATGATAATGGCCTACTCGAATACGATCCTGTTGTGGACGAACAGTACATTCGAAATTATGAAAGGGCTTTTCAGGAAAGTCGAGAAGAAGAAAGTATCTTGTCGAGACGTTTAAAAGGCACAGAACAACTGGACTCTTGGTGAGTTTTTAGTCACAGACTTTCTACCTGCTAGAGACCGTATTTCTTCAAACAAGAAGAGATAGGCACAGACAAAAGTAATGACAATGTATTCGAATGTGGGCATGAGTGTTTTTCCAGGTCATTTTAATGTATCAGGAATCTATTTAAGTTGAATATATTATTTTTCATATAATGTACATTCGTGCCTTAAATACTTAAATATAGAAATATAAGGTGCAAATTTAGCCAATTTACACCAAAATCAAAGTATTTATCGAAAACTATAACCTCAAATAACAAACTGGTTGAAGGGGCCCCCTGAAAAGTAAAACTTGTGGGTCTTTGATTGAGCTATATTCCCCTTTTGTACGTAATTTACATAATCCAAAAGTGAATACCTAGAGATATAGTGATATAAATGTTTATGTTAAATAGTTAAACGGATAACTGCCTCAGATCTATAAGGATTATGCCTTTTTCTTTAGGTGCAAATGTGGAAACTGTGCTATAGACAGACTTGCCAATGCTAGAGAATGCAAATGCTGCACTGAAATTAAAGGTTGTATATCATCATTGACAACTGTAGAAGTAAGGCAAGATATT